CGCCTACCTCTGTCTAAACATCTAACAGATCAAGAAGATTTGTTAAAATAAATATTTTAATGATCAAACTCTATCCGAAATACACGTTTCTATTTGATATCAAATAAAATGTGTTATATTGATTCTGGAGGTGTTTGATCATAGCAAAGATTTTCACATGTTAGATTGAATTATCAAAATTCTAATTATTTCAGTATTCAACAGTTAAAAATCAAATTTTGCATTCAATGGAACAATAATTGTACATTATATTTTAACTTTTATTGAGCAAGAGATATTCTTTAAACCTGGACGGTGAATTTTCAAGCATTCAATATATGAACGAGGAATAAATTATACCTTACCCCTCCCTACTTTTGGTCTATGTTTTTTCACTAGGGGTGGGGGCTTATTTGTGGTCAAATACGGTAATACATTTGTCCCAGATTGAAGTACAAATGGACCCCAAAATTGAAAAGGAATTTTACTCCTTGTATTTCTGTCATTTCATGAGTATTTTTTTTTTTTATAAAATACCAAATTTACACCCTGGAACATATTTTGAAATACAGTTGGTCAGTAATCTTGTCATTTGTTTTTTAACCCCAAAATATGTAATGGATTTTTTTTTTGCCCAGACAGACAGGAAGATCCCAGTTTGTAACCTCACTCCCCAGCTTTGTTACAAGGGTATGAAAACAAACAGATGTACAGCACTATCCAAACACCGAGCCATCATCAGTGTTTATACTGGTCTTGGGTAAGTGTTGGACTTGTCCAGTACAGAAACATTGAAGTTCAGATTCAATATTTACTTTCATGAAAAATTCTCTTTTATCTTCAGTTCTTCCATAGAAAATATGTCCTTTGACTTTCTCCCCTTTGTTATGATGGATCATTTTCATAAATCATTTTGTCATCAAATGGAAATGTATCAGAAATCCAATCGGACTGATTACCATTCTGAAGTTCGCGTCACAGCTAAAATCGTTTGATCTAATTTACCTTTCACATAATCGATAATCACATTATAAAGGATTTCTTTCAGTCGAGTATAACAATAAAGTTCCCTTTCTGGTCCAGCAGATTAGAGGTACTTTGGCAATGATCTGTGTGCAGGCTAAAGTAATAACCCAGAATTCCATTGTTATGGTAATCAAGGTATCAAAGTCGTCGGTGTGGTGTTCTGTAATCTCGTTTATAGAATAAATGGAGTCTTAATATCGGCATTTGGCTGTATTTTCACATTGCGTATGCAGTAAATATTCTTCAATTTGGGTTGTCTTAAATGCTTTAAAGATTTACTGCAATAAAGTCTTAAATCTTTATAACACGAGTTGGCCATTCAAAAAAGGTTTCAATATTCTAGTATCTGATGTGGCTGAGAATCCAGCAATTATTCAATAACCCCAGTCTATCACAGGTATACTTCCCAACATATACTGGTTTGGAGTAACACCGGTCTATCACAGGTATACTTTCCAGCATATAATATTTTACATTAAGACTGGTCTATCACATGTATACTTCCCAACATATACTGGATACTGGTTTGCAGTAACACTGGTCTATCACAGGTATACTTCCCAACATATACTGGTTTGCAGTAACACCGGTCTATCACATGTATACTTCCCAACATATACTGGATACTGGTTTGCAGTAACACTGGTCTATCACAGGTATACTTCCCAACATATACTGGTTTACAGTAACACCGGTCTATCACAGGTATACTTCCCAACTTATACTGGTTTACAGTAACGCCGGTCTATCACGGGTATACTTCCCAACATATACTGGTTTACAGTAACACCGGTCTATCACAGGCATACTTCCCAACATATACTAGTTTGCAGTAACACCGGTATATCACAGGTATACTTCCCACCATATACTGGTTTTCAGTAACCCCGGTCTATCACAGGGATACTTCCCAACATATACTGGCTTACAGTAACACCGGCCTATCACAGGTATACTTCCCAACATATACTGGTTTGCAGTAACACCTAACCAATGTTGTCCAGTAGGATATACAGCTGTCAATTAACTACTCAATAACTTTTCAGAGTTTCCTGGGTTTTTTTAAGCTTTACCCGAATCTAAATCAATTTTTGTTTGATGTTGTTAATTTACCAAATCTAAAGAATATTTTTTCATCCTATGTGTTCAGGTATATACAGTTGAATACAGTTAAACTTCAATATAACTGTTTTCTGTGATAACATTTCAATGGCCATGACCTGGCCATCACAGATTAAGGTCCAAACTCTATGGTTTTAACAATTCCTCTATAGGATTGATCTAATGGCCACCTCAATATTAAGCCTTTGTCTTGACAAATGGTCGGAGTATAAAGAGACTTTCAGTAACAGACTTGATTTAAACTGCACATAGACTAGAACAAACACAAAATAGTCAGGGAGGAATGGCACATTTTAATGTACCAGGGTAAATGTTTTACATATTTTATTGCCAAATTACGCTCCTTCCACCCCTCCCCAACCCACACCTTGTGAAGTAGAAAAGCACATCAGGACAACATAGAATCAGTTCGTGTTTGAAAACTGTTAGTAAATCAATGTTCAAATAACAGTGGCAGATTTTATTTGTACATAGAATTAAGATCACCTTCTAGCTTCGAGCTAGAGGGAATTTCCCTTTAGCTCAGTGGTAGAGCGTCCAACTAGGCACCTAGGGACCGTGGGTTTGATCTCCAGAGGAAGCACACTATTCTCTTTCCTGTTACAAAACTATCAAAAAACAATGGTTAGCTACTGCAGTGACTGTAAGTACTCAGTATAAACCTCTCAGTACATTTTAGCCAAACGAGATCCTAATACAGGCTGGTTTACATTAGTGTAGAACAGTATCGGTAGGGTTATTATAGATTTCATTGCTGAACAAAGGGCCCAGTTGATGAACTTTATAAGTACTCAAGACAAAGAAGGCAAAATTTGTGATTGTATATTTTGTTCCGTCTAATTTATAATGAAATGATGAGACATAATTCATCGGTAAGTAAGGGTGGTTGGGAATGTAACAAAAATTACATTAAACCTTGTGAGACGTTTGTGTGAGAGACCGGTCGCTGACCACTGGGGTTCTCCTCAGCAGGGATTTAACGTTTCATTGGTCAGCTGTGGGCTCTTATCTCCTACTGTCATGATATCTATTGGTCAGTTTGACCAGTCATAGTAACCAAATTTGGTCATGTTGCTGAAAAGGTCCAAGGACTTTTATATATATAGATAATGAATGAGTGTAAACAAAGAAAAACTGTATTGGTCCAGTCACTCACTGTTAGACTACTAATGAATTAATGCAGATGAAATTTCCCAGCTAGCAATCTAATGACAAAATAACATACTTATTATTCTCATTAAATCAATATCAGGTATAGATACCTAAGGCAAAAATAAAATAAAAAAAAATATGTATGTATGTAACATGACTGAAATACATAGGGTAGGTTGGTCGTGATTTTAGGTTGGTCGTGATTTTTCAAAAATGACCTAACAGATTTTGAGGTCTTTTGAATAATAATATGGGATTTAAATTGATTTTGATACCAGCTGAAGTAAGAAGGTATATGTATATAGTTGCCTTGTTTGTTTGTATGTCCATCAATTTGTTTGTTCAGTGGACAAGTTAACCAAACACTGACATTTTTTTTAGAGTCGGAGGTAAAAACTAGGGTCGGTCAGGGAAACTGAAACATACATTTTGTTTTGGCATAAGATAGAAAACAACTTTTTCTAAACATTTTTATCAGGTTGGTAATACTGGGTATGAGTTGTAGGAAGGTAATGTATCACAACCAGTAAGTGTGTATGAGTGGCATTTTGATGGCTAGTACAGTACGTGAGTGCTGTCCTCCAACCCTATGTGGAGACGGTGTCAGATTACACACATCACGGTTCTCTACAACATTTTATCTGGACCAAATTCCTTTTGTCCTTATTTCACATTACACCTGTAATTCATATCTTTGATTTCATAATAGTTTTTAAAGTCGTTTGTGGCAGCTAGCTACTATTCATGCATACATTATGTTCAGACTGTGGATATATAAGGTAAATACAATGCTTGTGGTTTAACACAACCATACTGTACTCACTGGCAGAGAGCAGTGGGATGGGTTCACAAGTTATCTCCCTTCATTGTATTTCTAATCAGCATTTCATTCTGGACCAAGGGAGATAACCCACAAAAATGATATCTTAAACTAGCTGGCGCTCAGAATCGTGTAAGTGAATTTTAGAATATCAATTAGAATATATAGGCGTTCACACAATTAATCCTAAAGACCTTATTACTAAACAATAATATTTTGCGTTAAGGAAATATACTACATGTTTGTTATGACTGTGACATTAATGTACTTCCTTTCTAGAGAGTTTCACAATTAAAGTGACATCAAGACAAAGTCAGCAAATACAAAAATCTCCTGTCTTGTATACACTTCCAAATACAGTATATTCACCTTATTTATCTATTACACATTCTACTACATCCCTGAGGTTATAAAAATACTGGATATACCTATTATCTAAATTTATAAAAGTAATTTTAGAAGTCAAATTGATTTTTTTCTGAATTTCAGAGAGTCAAAATGTTTGGTAAATAGACTTGTCCTTCAAATCAGAACAGCCAAAGCTCATTTTGGAGAGTTAAAAACACACATTTAATGGTCTACTGAAAAACCCTGCTTCACAGATAATCCATCAAGGCTGTTTCCCTGTCTATATGTAAAATAACAAGCAATTGTTTTGTCGATAACTTGAGAAAGCCTTTCCTATTAACAGATTATTTCATAAGAATATTCAGGGATTTTTTAAGAAGTGCTTATCACTACAAATATTGGTCTAAATTTGTATATATCGTGGGTGTGCCAATTCATCAATGTGCTAAACTGTTAAAATCCAACAATGTGTGAAAACTTGAATACGCTTTATCAAAGACAGTACATTGTATCTGATTAAATAATTTTAGAAAACATGGAAGAGTTGTCTTACCTAGATGGGTAGTCTTGATGTCCAGAGCTCTTTGTAATAATTTGACCGCTTCATCCTTAGCGCCTTGACTTGATTCTTCCTGCACCAATTTCGCTGCAAGTGAACATTTCCTATAAAGTTTATCTTTTATTTTCATTATCATATGTGAGCGATGCCTATAACTTTAGCCACCAATGAATCAAGGACATGTAAATTACTTAGTTCTATGGCACAGGAAGGACAAACAAAAAATGTGACGGCATAGCATGGAGTCTCACCAAAGCTTATTTATTCTAATACAGCATTTGAGTTCAGATTTCTTGAAAAACAAATAAAGTGAAACTTAGTTATAATGCCACCATATAAAGGAATTCTTCAGAAAAACAGAAAAATAGACTGTGAAATATATTAGCGAAAGCAAGGTGACAAATGAAACAAGGGGCATTATATCAAGGTTTTACTTTATTATATACTGAATTTGATAAGAAATTCTTGAGACAGAAGGATAGGAGATATACTGATTATTTACCTAATTCCACCAGGATGTCAGAGACAGTTAAGTGACTCGTGCCGAGACATGTCTCTCTGATTTCTAACGATCGTCTGTACACTGTTTCAGCTGCCACTTTGTCATAACTATAAAGATATAATATCGATATTCATTAGATGTTTCAATAACATGTCATTTTGTGTATATTTAACATTTTGAATTCCAGATAAAAAACTTTCACTAAAAAATTGTGACTTATCGTACTGATGACAGGATTGCTTTTACTTATATTGAAATTACAACTGGAGGGATATTTACCCAATCTTTACTTCTAAAAGATTACATTTAGATATCAGGCTAGCCAATAAGCAGACCTGCCAAAAGTCAATCAGAATATTAAATTACATTGACTGTTGCTGTTTCGTACATTTACACATACTTACCCTCGGATATTGTTAGGATTTCCCATAATGCCTGCTAGGGTGTACAAGATGTCTGCCACTAGAGGATGCGTACGTCCGTACCACTGTTCCCGTATAAGCAGAGACTGTCGCAAAGAACTCTCTCCTAATAGGAACTCATATTGCTGGGCCCTACAGACACGAGAAATACAACCTGAACTTAAATTCTAGTCAATCATCAAGATTTTTCAAATAAAATCAACATTTATAGGGTATGTATGAGTCAAAGATACCCTTCAAAATAAGAGGCTTATGAGGCAAGTATAGTATAGTTCACTTACTTTACTGAATTCTCACATAAAACAAGCTACAGATAGGTTGTACATAATGCATCAAAATATTCTTTTGAAAAAAAAAAAAAATACTGACATGAAATTTTTCACATTTTCAAGCAGCATTTTATACTACTGACATGAAAGTTGTAACATTTTCAGGTCAAAATGAAAAGTACTAAAATAAGATTTCCAATAAATAAGGTACATTTCAATCTAATTAAAATTATATCTTCACATCGCTCCCGTTTACTGATATGTCACGTTGAAGATCTAACAACATCCCATAGAGGGTCACGTCAGAGGTCAACATGAATGCATTATCGTATTTATAACAAGCCAATCAAAACGCGACATAACTATTTCTTTCAACCAATCAGAAAGCAGGACCTGTAGCATTTAATGCAGACACCTCGTAGCCCAAAATCCACTTTTTCGTCTGGTCCAGTGATAGTTTGAATATTGCGAAGCCTGTCATTGGTTAATTTTAGTTTCAGGTTGTTAAACTTTTTAACGACAACATCACCAGAAGAGGAAGTCTCTCTTATTTCAAAGCAAAATCCACAAATTGTACAAACGTTGTCTTGTAGATATTACACGGCGTGGCGTCATGGGCGTCGCCATTTTCGATGCTCATTTGACACCTCTCGGTCTTTGATCATAGCAAGTGTGTTCCGAAATCATTACATCATCACTTACAGAAATGTGTAAGCTCTCATCTGATTGGTTAATGCAAAGGTCGCCTGAACATGACCCTCTACGGGATGTTATTAGATCTTCAATGCGACATATCAGTAAACGGGAGTGATGTGAAGATATAATTTTAATTAGATTGGGTACATTTACATTAAACACATTTAAATTAGAAACCTTTGGCAATTTCAAATATGATGTCACCTAAATTTTAATAAACTGTAAAAATATGCTCCTCATTTTATGGCGGGGGCATAAAAATATCTGATGTACCTAAGACTGCCTAGGTTGTAGAGAATGGTTGCCCTGGTTGCTAGGTTACCACAGCTGGTCACACAGTCCAGTGATTCTTTCAGCAAGTCTTCTGCACTATCCAGGCTGCCTTGCTGTAGCCTCAGGTAACCATGGTGATTTAATAACCGACCTAGAACAAAGGAATAACAAGTAAATTTATTATGTTTTATTATTACTATTCAAGTAATATATATAACCTTTCACTTTAGGTGTAATGTTGGTGGGTGAAATGTATCGCACATGTGTCAGTGTCAAAGATTTCAATGTCAGTGATGTCAACTGTACTGTGATATCATTGTTGTTGATTTACAAAAATAAAATTGAAACAATGCTACAGTACAGCACTAAACTTAAAAGCGTCTATTAATTTTGCCTCAAAAAGACAATCATGCATGCTTAATAAGTTCAATAAAATGAGAAAAAAACATGAAGAAATATTTTGGTTAACAACTGTGGAATAGACATTGTTTCAATAAAAAAAATCACCACTAACAAAAATTTACCTTTCAGATTGGTGATCTCCAAGTATTTAGGTGTTCCTTCCTCAATTTCCAGGTCAGAAATGTCCATGATGGTTCGGAGGGCACGTCGGAACCACTTTTCTGTCTGTTCCATGTCGTTTTCCACCTCCTTACTGAACTGACCGATCATCTCCTGGACCCGGGCATGTAGGAGTTGGTCATCCTCGGACAGGGGGTAGTTCTGTTGATAAAGCATTTCAGTGTTGTCATTGATCGGTTAGTTAAATGCTTAATACTGACACAGTCAAACCTGAGCATACAACTACCTTTATTAAAAGACCGATGTGTTAGGAGGCCACTTTAAGTGTTCCCCATATTAGTGATTTCATTGTGAAATAATCCTATCTGAAGAGACCACCTGTATAAAGAGACCACCTGTGTTAAGACCACATTTTGGCATTCTCGAGGGTGGTCTCTTATAAGGGTTTGACTGCAACAACCAACATACATACTTTAGCTTCAATTTTAGGGGAGAAAAGATGTCAGTTAAAAAAGATTGTGAATATTTATATAGATACCTTATCATCTGTTATCAATCAAAATCTTTGCAAAAAGTGATATTCAGCTCAATTTCAAAATATTTATTTCATTTCGGGATCTCCTCTTTCATTTTTAATTTTTAATCAACAAGTGTCGCTGCCACCCAGTTGAAATCAACATTCTTTTCTTTGGTTGTTTTGAAGTAGGTTTTCGTGTGAATTATCTATGTTAAGGATCCCCGTCCCAGCCAGAGCAAACCACTTAAGATTTCCACTGTCGTTTTTCAGTGTTAGAGTCAACTGCCCCTGATTACCAGCGACAATGTTGATATCTTCCCTTGAATAGATTTCGTTTGAATAACGTTTCGACTATTGTATGTTGTAAATTGTATATATGACTTTTTGGGATTTAGAATTATTATTGGTACAGATGTAAGAGTTGTCTCTCTTTTTTGTTTATTTTTTTTTGTATCTTTATAATTTTTTGTATAATAAGTAAGCCCGCAAGATATTTATTTTTTGTCACCTATATTTTCTTTTTGTTGTCCTTAACGTATTGGCACTCGGAATTTAATTGATTCATGTAAGGGGCAAATTCCTCAGTTTTTTGTGTTTTGTTCATCAATATTGACATTGTATTATTTTTTATGTGTTATATTTCTAATAACCCATTGTTGCATCAAATAAAACGTTTTTTGTTTCATTTTGTTCCAATGATATGGTTATGCAATAGCGATGCCGTAGAAAAAAACAACAATGCCTCATTACATTTTTATGCGGAGGGACGGGGATCCTTAAGACAATCATTTTCACTGTTTCTTATTCAAACTTATGCATATGCTGTTTCAGGATAATACATTCAGCTAAATATTTATACATTTTTTATCATTTATTATATTTATTTATGGCTTTTCTGTCACATTTTCATTTTTGATAGTTAAACTCTGAAATTTACATACCAACACACCTAGTTCTTTCATATAGTCATGTGTTTTTAAGTCTTAACTCATTCACCCCTGAAATTTCATAATGAAATTTTCCAAACTCTGAATAGGAAGAGTTCAAATGTGTCTTCAGGGATGAATGAGTTAAATGTCACTTTAACAAGAAACGTAATTATCTAGAAACTTTTTATGCTTTTTTATGCTTTTTAGGGGAGGGGGTGTTCTCACTATCTTATACCTTGTCCAGTTTGCCATTCATTGCCCTACATATGGTGTCGGTGACCTTGGGATAACCGGTGTCTTTGAGAAAGCCAGCTATCATGAAGGCAAGCTTGAAAACTGATGAGGTCAGCACAATCTCCTTTGGCCCCTGATCTGTTGTAAAAATATTAAAGGAAACACTTTGTAAAGATATCAGCAATAAGAAAATTTAAGTTATCAAAAGACAAATAATATAGATACCAGGTAACAATGATTTTTAGTAATACAGTTTTCCATTGGTGTTTTTTTTCCCACAAGGATAATTTATAACAGATGTCAAAATTTGAAAAGAATGGTGAAGGGTTTATTCTTCTTAAAATCATCTGGCTTAATATCATCACCCTAGGCCTCTTGGAAAAAGAAGAAGTTGTTTAAAGTAAAATATTGACGCCGGACGATGGACGGCAGGCGCGTAGCTGCCACTTAGGCAAATAAGCAGTTGCATGCACATCAAAAATTCAAATATACTATTATATTTTTATTTATTTATTTTGTAGTTCGGAAAAGTGATTAAATGATGTGTGCATGGTTCAATTGAAAAATATATTAAATTTAACCACGGAATTAGATTGTTATCCAAGTCCGTGATTTAACTGTATAACCGACAGCCGACAATCATTACATATCTGGAAGTTCCAACCAAGGGTACCTGGTGCCGATTTTATAATTAGTATTTTTAAAATTGTCAACATCGGAAACATGCATGGCTGCAAATCCAACGAAAACCCTGCATCATCTTTGAAGAACAAGTTGATACATGACATCTTCCAAGCAGCTGTAGGTTCACATGAAACAACATCCTCTTGCGACATTAACTTAGGCATCGACGAGTCTAAAAATGTTATTAGTATTAGGGCCTAGTAATGCCGGACCGAACACAGTTCTGATCAGTCTCAGTGGTGGACCCAGGGGTGTTGCCCTAGTTGCCCGGGCAACACCCTTTTTTCTGTGTCCAAAAATAATCTGGACTTAGGTTTTTGAAGATTTTTCTCTTTTTCATTTTTCATATGGGATTTNCTGTACATATGCATGCATACACAATTCACAATAAAAGACAAACAGTCAAATCATAATTCATTTTTATGACAAACTAAATCAATATTTAATTGCCAAAATCCTTGCCTAAACAACATGCATATGACACAAACATCAACATTTTAACCAAAAACCTACATTTTTACCATTGTTTCAGAGAGAGTGCTTGAACAAGTTTAGTATTACATCTTAAGAAAAAAGAATTTGCCACGCTCTGCTTGGCAGGGAAATTATAATTGTCACAATCTCAGAAAAAATGAAGTTCTATATATTGTTTGGTGCCAGAAAGTAGTATACATGTACAACCGACATGACAATTATAATTTATTAGTTTTTTTGAGTCTTCTGAGTCAAAAATTTTGGGCAACACCCAAAATTAATTCCTGGGTCCCCCCCCCCTGAGTCTGACTGTTGTTACCCGTGATATCGGGAATACAAGTGAGGCCGATATTCGTTTCACTAAAGTGAAGGTGGATATCGATATCCTGTCAAAAAGATGGGAAAAAGCTCACGTGTTCAAGTTCCATACACGTCAACATTTTAACAAGCGATTGTAATGAAATACAACTAAGTTTGTTTTTCAGGAATGGATGTAATTTTGTGTAATTTTTTTCACCAATTAAAGGTCTTCCGAATAACAATTGTAGATTGATTTGTTACTAGCATTATTGTTATAGGTTTTAGGGCGGATATATGAGCGTAAAGGATCCATCTGAGTTTTACATTCACTTCGCCTGCAAATGTAATATGAAAAAGGCAAAGCCTCAAAAGTCAGAAAAAAGCCATGTACATGTAGCTTTTGCTAATCTGTGACATTATATAGGCCTGTCCTTCATTTGCCCCTGTCATGAACTGATAAAGTATGTTTTTCAGAGTAGTCCTAGGCCAATCTTCAGTAGAGCTACTGGATATATATGTATATATATCTAAACATCGATATAAGAGCTACCGTCATCTTATGTTCTGAGAAATGTTGATGATATAAAAAGGGTTTGGGGAACACAAGGGCAAAAAATCTGAAATTAAACTGTTCATATTGGCTCGGACATTTTAAATATCTAGTTAATCTAAATTCATCAGGAAAGAGATATTTTCGGGTAATTCCAACACTTGACACATTTTGTCGGAGAAAAAAAGGAGAGCTGTCTTTCGCATTTGAAATACATTTGAATTTTTGCGATGCTTTCCAATAATAAAGTGATGAATCAACCAAAAAAAGTTGTCTGTAAAATAAATTCTAAAAAGCCACAAGATGGCACGACAGAGCTTCTATATCTAAAAAAAATCAGGGGGGGGGGGGGGGGGGGCATGCCCCCGTACCCGCCTAGAATGGCTTCGCGCCTTTGGCGCTCGCATTCACCGAAGGTGTGACTTTCTGTATGCACATCCAAAAGAACCAGCTACGCACCTGGACGGCCGACAGACAGATGACGGCCGACAGACAGATGACGGCCGCCGCACCACAGCATAAGCTCACTTGACCCTTTGGGCCAGGTGAGTTAAAAAAACTATGTACTTAGTGATGTTTGAAATAAGAGTCAAAAATAATTCTGATAACAATAGAACCTGTAAAGGTCGAAGGGAGATAACTGTGCTAGAAGTGTAGTTTAGCATGTTTTCACAAATATTCAGCATTCACGTCATTATTACAATATCTATCTCCAATCTTTCACCATTACCAGGTAACTGGCGTATCCTTTGGCTGTGTCTAGTTGTGAATTGGTACACAGCAGAGTAGTGTGATCCTAGAAGACACTATCAATGGGAATGTTTTTGTAAAACATAGGAATGCTGTTTTTCTTTTACCTTAAATGTCTCTGCCAGTGGACTCGCACGAGATGACTATGCCTGTATTGTTTTTTCTTTACCTAAAATGCCTTTGCTAGTTTTGCCTTTACCTAAAAGGTCTCGCACAATTAAATCAGACAATCAGCAGGTTTTTCATACGATTGTAATCCCTACCTAAAATTTGTTCCGGTTTAATACAGTGCCTCTGAGTAATTTAAATAGGTAATTGTTGACATATTTTACATTGAAAGAAATCTACAGATAATGAACTTTAGAAAAATGTATAGTTTTAGTAGATATTAAAATGTGATGGCAGATTGCTATGGGGTCAAATGTCAGGGTGTTCCTGTCTCACTTAACCGGTTTGGCCTGAAAACTTCAAAAGCAGATGCCTGTAGCGCTCTTATATGCCACTAAACTCACCAAAAATACCCTTTTGCAGCCTTTGTCAGGTATGTATCTGTGAATCTAGACAGTTGTCACTAGTGTTGAACTTCAAATATTAACGCAATTTGCTCAAAAGCTTAGTAATAAAACATATAGTAAATGATTTAGTTGTGCGAGTCCTAAAATGCCTTTGCTTGTTTTAAATTTACCTGAAGTAATACTTGTTTTAGACTCCGTTAAGAAGATCGTGTCTATCCCGTTCTGTGTCTCTGATATCGTGATTTTTGGCAGTTCATCCTCTCCATCCTCTCCATACTGTTGGTTATAAAGGAAATCAAAACACATTCCATATTAGTCAGATTGATTAAAGGACTTGGTCTCACCATAACTTTTCTACATTTCTATCATCCTAAATGATAATTAAAAGAAATTGTACTTACTTAGCAAAACTGAGTTACACGAAGAAAAACATTGAATAATTATAAGGTTCCTTACATGAAGTAAAACAATTGAAAAGAAAAAATAACATAACAGATATTCGCAAACCCACGGGGTGATTTTTTTGGTTGTCTACCCCTCGGCAGAGCCTCGGATTAGACAACGAAAAAACATCATCCTCGGGTTGGAGATTTCTCTGTCACACCCTCAAGGTAGGGGAAGATTTTATTATTCTTTCATAATTATGAAAACTGAGATACAATTATTTCATAAAAAAAATTGTATCACATAATATGGTTGAAATAGTAGACCCAAATTAATTTTAATTTGGTCAGAACAGAATTTCTATTGACCCTTCAGCTGTCGATGACAAAGGATGAGTAATAAATTAACTAACCCTGAAACTGTCGGTGACACTAGACGTCTCTTCTATCACTGACAGTGTGCGCTGATCATGCGGTGATGATGTGACGATTCGAGGTACGTTGGTGAAGACGTGTGGTTTGAACACCTCTCCATTCTCGCCCAGTGTAGATACGGACACAGCGTCCCCATTCTCACTAAATAAGACAGTATCGTTGCCATCCTGTCAAGAAGAAAAAAAATCACTTAGCAATATTTGTATTAGCTCCCTTGATTTGTTCAAAGGCTAACCTCATACAACCAGCTATGTGTAAACTGCATGACTTTGATTATCTCCCCTTGCATGGATCAATTTCACAAGGTCTTAATAATCTGACATATGATTTAAGAAAACTAATTCTATAGATACTTATTGTCAATATCGAAAAAGCATACTCTCAATCATAAATTCAATTATTTCAAACAAAATCAACAAGAAAAGCTCCTGAAATAAATCACATGCAAAAATAGGAATTTTACAGTGATTTTGCTTTATAGAAAGAAACCAAAGTTTAGCTAAGGAAAAATATTCTGCTATGGAGAGAAACTGTAGTCACTTCCCGCTATAATGTTTTACCTCTGACTGGTTGTCCAGTATGCCCAGACTAGTCAGTAGCTGTGTGTAGGTGGACGCTATGTCGATGCCTTGACCAGCCAAAACTGACCAGTAATAGGCAAGGTCAAGTTTGTTTGATGGACATTGTCTCTCTTCATTCAGGAAACCATCTATCATTCTAAAATTTAAATTTAACACATTAATAATTACACATTACATCTCAACCAATAAGCACTATCACTCTTTATGTTTTGCGCACAGTGAGTTTACGATACTACACTCTAGTACAGAATAACAATACAGTTATCATACAATTAGCCCTGGGGGGCAACATAGAAACTCTAATTTAAAGAAGGGTTGGGCTTGTTGTAGGAATTGTTGGTATTTCTACTGACTTGTATTTGACATGGGTGGGCTTATCACCAGGCATTGACTTATTGCCATATAAATACAGTAAGTATTTGGTCTATCCTGATAATACGAGCTAAACACATTGGCACTTCCAGAGTAAGTGCAAAATAAACCAAAATATAACCACGTCTACGATATCCTGATTAAAAGTATCTTAAATTAACACCAAAACTCTAAATAAAAAACCCACACAGGATCAGTGAGGACCTTGGCCAGCGCCTCGAAGTCCCCAGCCATCACCAGTTGGTATGGCAACCCCAGAAGGATGGCATCAGAGAACGGTAGTTGTTTTAAGTACTTTGTCATGTGGTTATGGAATTTCTGTTTCTCTCCCTTCCATTCTCTGTTGGCTGCATCGTGGGCGGTCACTTCAGAGCCGCCAGACTTGAACGAATCTGTACAGTGCCATAAATAAAAGACATTAAATAAAAGACATAAGTTGTAGCATCAACAAAATAATCTCTGACATTGTGCATTCAGAGGTCAAAGGTTAACCTTACCAGCATTTCAAAAGATTTTTAAGGAGTAGAAACAGTGTGACAATTTTTGAAACACATTGGTACGTTCTTAAAATCACCATACTAATTGTGTACAATACCATAGATAAGATTGAGCAAAATGCAAATGCGATTAAATTCGGCTCATTTCAAAAGTCAATACTTCTATGGTAAAAAATGGTGAGACTGAAAGGTCAAGGTTCAAATAAATGATCTAACTAGAGGTTTCAAGGTAATATTAGGTGACCAGATTTACTGTATACATGTACCACGAAATTTTCACCGCAGTTGAACTTTCCCCCCTTTTGTCCTCGGTAATGAGGGCGAATTTATCACAAGAGCCAAAATTAGTACACAACATTATAAACATAGCAATAAGGTGAAGGGTGAAATGAACACTGACCCCATAGACTGAACATTTGAATTAAATTACACTTCCTGTATGGTAAATAGGGATTAACAAATAAACATAGAACAAAACAGAAATTCACATGAATTCAGGTAAGCAATTGGATTTATATGCTCTGTTGAAACATTCTAACTTTCATCTAATATATTAAATAGAGAAATTGATAGAAGACATATTCACAGATAAAATGGTAGCTAAGGATGCATGCAGACAGAGCTGCACATTTTTTTCTATACATGTGTTTTAGTCTCTGTTCAAAGGTCTGACACATGATACATCCGACACAGAGATTCGGACCCAACACTGATCAACATACTGAGATTTAACAGCTGGTGAGTGCTGGAGACCTTACCGCAGACCTGAGGCTGATCAACATACTGAGATTTAACAGCTGGTGAGTGCTGGAGACCTCACCGCAGACCTGAGGCTGGGGACTCTCTAACCCATTTGTGGAGTGGAAACTTTTACATAAACAATATTAAAACATGGTACATGTATATCATAGTGTGTTGATGTGTTAGCAATCGTGCATATTTACATATGGATTTAGTAAACATCACATTTATGAGTACAGCTTTAACATCATATCCGTTGTACATATATCCTACTTATTCCCCAATGATATGATCTCATTGTGAAACGTAACTGTATTAAGCAACCTGTGACCTGCTTTAAGACACCACTTTCAGGAATTCCTGAGGGTGGTCTCTGAATACAGGTTACAATGTACTTAGAAAAAGATTCATTTTCAAACATTCCAACAGGAAATGATCAATAATGAGACAATATTAGAATCATTTTCACCTTAATTTTAGGCCTAGTTTTCCGAAATCCCTTAAGATTAATGATAATTTAAGGTGAATCTTTCATCTTGCATTTTTCAAAATATAAAAACTAAATATACACAGTATATGGATTCAAATTCATTACCTAAAGATAAAAAAAAACTGACAGAAGTATCTATATATTTGAGATATTTCTCAAATATTCCATTTTGTAAATTGGCATTAGTGACTCATTATTATAATCATACTCTGAAAAACTTGGCCCTGCTATTTTGTAATTACCGTATTCGACTTAATAAGTGCACATGCCCCTTTAAGCGCTACCCAACCTTTTTTCTGGGAAAGAGGATGGGTGAGCTTAATTCAAACTTGTAAAAATGTTGCTTACTTCATTGATCTGCCAATATAATCTTCTTCCTTATTTTGCCCTTTAGTGTTTACGTTTAACTAGGCAATATAAGCCAGTGGTCTACCATTATTTTCTGATTCAAAATAAGACCAAATGTCTCCTATAAGTTATCTGATTCATCCTTTGAAAGATTGCATATTTCAAATCCAACTGATCTAAAACACGATTGTTTTCATTATCGTTCACATAATCATCCAACAGATCTGTCTGTTTCAAATCTGACATGTCAATATGGGTTCCATTATTCAATTAAAAAAGAACTTGTTGTTGTTTCTGATTCTGTTCTTCTGTCACTCTGTAAAAACTTTTATCACCGCTTGAGCCTGTGCCATTGGCCATTGTTATTCATCGATAATGTTGTTGGTCATGATCGTTTTGGACCATTCCTGCAGCATTGTCACTTTATAGCAATATAATCAGTTAGCATCTGAACAGGAAAAACTCTCACACATACATGACTCACTTGTGTATGGACAAGGTGGCAACCATAAGCACGTTTTGGGGGTCTGGTTTCAGCCATGTTGATCACATGCGGACATGTTTTTTGTAAGCGTACAGTGCAGTTATTAGGTCAAATACGGTAATATTCATTCAGATGAAAAAAAAACATACTACCTATTTCTAACACACTTTCTAGCTAGAAAATTAACACCAACCAAATCATCAGTTAAATCTTCAACTAAAACTCATAAACATTTCTAAAGTAGTAGTCGTGTCATCTAAAAATAATCAAGCATTACGACCATTGTAGATTTATAACTACAGTTCCGTCCACCATCATATTTTTGTAGCGAATTCCTTTCTTATAAAAAAAAATATGATAATTGTTTTTATTTTCATTCAATTGTACACCTTTAGGCAAATAATTCTTCACCTGTGAATTCAGGAGGATTATTAACATGCTAATATATCTATACTGTGGGACAGACCCCGTGCATGTTAGAAAAGCTGATATATATGTGACCCAGTAGTTCAAGTTAGTGATGTATTTTATTGAGATATAAATGGATAATATCTGTAAGAATAATGTGTTAGAAATTAATACATGTATATTGAATATTGGTAAAATGAATACACCATAATATGTTATATTATACCGTAGAATTTTTGGGAAGAATGAGGACACCATTATTACCCCTTTACAAGCTAATGCTGGGGGGGGGGGGGGGGGGGGAGAGAAAAAATGTGGAATTTTCCAAGTACCGGGTACCTGTCAAATTTTCATGTAGAATAAAAAATCCACTGCCCAGTAATAGTAATTTAGATGTCAGCCACCAGATATACTTATCCTGAATACTGTATTTGGACAGCAGCACAAGTCCAATCAATCTACTTATTTGCTATATTAGTATTGGGTGTTGCTTTACAACAAAGACAAAACACCTTAATAATCCATAGTCAGGCATCAGTATGAATCAGGAGGTTCAGAGATAGGAATTGACCTGTTGTATTGCACTTTATGATCATATCAGGTAACTTATGTGGAGCACTCAGTGGATACATGATTTTCTTTGCCAAAGGACAATGAGGAAGGACAATATATTTCCTGTAGCGATTGCAATGCTTGGTATCTTTATCTTTTCCTTTCCAATTCATTTACCACAAGCAGTTTCATTTTATTTCAACGTCTCTTTTGATATGCCTCATTTTCTACTGTGTACCCTCACATAAGGATGCTAATGTGATTATGGATTGGTAAGACTTATTGGTAATAATAACCAAAAATATCAGACTAAAGGGGTTCCACTGTTACGTTTATAACATAATATCAGTGATCTGTTCAATTTGATTTATAAGATATATCAATCTATAACAAATCCCTATCATAAAATTTACACTAGATTCAAAAATATTTGAAATGCTAGATGTATTTGCCATGAAAAAAACATGAAAATTATTACAAAATATATGAACATCAGTAATTCTATTCCACTTAGTCTTTCTAGTAAATTGACACCAAAGGGAGATAATTTATTAGTTTATTAAATCGCCTATAGTGAAAGCTAGAATCTTCACAAATGTCTATGTGTGCTTGCAATCATAAAGGACATTCTGATTGACTGGCTTGCTGCTCACACAAAATAATCAAACAATGGTGGAGTCGATACAAGAGAATTAAGATTCAGTTTGTGTATACCTGTTGTTAGCTCACGTCAACATTAGAGGTAAAGGGAGATAATTCCTTTGCAACAAGTATCATAAACCAATTTAACAATTTCACCTTGGTTTTCAATTTTTCTTATAATTCTTTCTAGAAGATTTTTTTTGTACAATAATAATCTTTAAAAATAATTTAAAATTTGTCCAATTGCCTTTTTCATAAAGCTATAAATTTCAGATGGTTTTGCAATGGCATCTTAAATTATTAATCCAAAAGAAAATATTTTCTTTACAGAGAAAGGATTTCAGAATAATTTTCAATGTCTTCAAATTGTAAATTGCTAATTGATCTGTGAGCTATCATCAGGTCTACTTGAGATACAGCACACAGGCAGGTTACAGGAGTACAGCCATTATTTTACAGCCACACTGAGTCGTGTTGCAGCAGGTTACAGCCAATCTCAGTGGTGTACATTAAAGACGCTTGTGACAAACATACTAATATTATACTGTAATCGTTGGATCCGTTTGCTTTTCTTCCTTTTTGCTCGACCTAAATAAATCATACATGTTTATCAAAACTATTACCAGACATGCAAATTAGTGTTTTCTTGCATAGCAAATATGTTTATTAAAACACATACATGCAAATTAATATTTTAATCAGAGTGACATGCATTGTACAAACACATATTTATAAGTAAGAAAAATAAGTTCATAAACACAGTTTAAAACCCTTTTATGAATAGACAAAAAACAAAAAAGTAACGTCATTATTTTGTTCTGTACCTGTTGGGAAAGAGTAAAAAAGTGAAGAATGTGACACTAAAATATGGATGAGGGGGATTCATACAAGGGGAGATAATTTAGATGATCAAGACTACGATATATTTTATTATTTGGTCACTACACTTACTGAATGACAGCAGCATAAATATGGTATGTAGTAACCTTTTTGTACTAGCCTATAACGTTGTAACACCTTCTTCATAACAGCATTCTGACTAATATGATGTCTAAGGGGAAGTAACTAGAACCATATGGTAGTCTCATGTCTAAGGGGAGGTAACTAGAACCATATGATAGTCTAATGTCTAAGGGGAGGTAACTAGAACCACATGTAAGAGACAATTAGCGCTGCTGATATATACAGCTAGTAAACATCCTTCAGCACAACTGTGGTGACAAGGTCAGAGTTCAAGGTGATTACGTAATCCAGTATTGTGTAATCCACAGAAAACACTTATTATTCCTCAACAGTATGTATGTCGGCCCTACCGTAAATACTTATATAACTGACCCATGTTGTATGGCCCTACTGTAAATACTAATGTAACTGACCCATATTGTATGGCCCTACCGTAAATACTAATGTAACTGACCCATATTGTATGGCCCTACTGTAAATACTAATTTAACTGACACATATTGTATGGCCCTGTCGTAAATACTAATATAACTGACCCATATTGTACGGCCCTGTCGTAAATATTAATATAACTGACCCATGTTGTATGGCCCTATCGTAAATACTTATATAACTGACCCATGTTGTACGGCCCTACTGTAAATACTAATATAACTGACCCAAATAGTAAATAAAACACAGTTCTGATCATGATTGCATTCTCTACTTAGCAATTTATATAGTTACATTGTTTGTCCCTTAAACATGCCTTTAGTAGGTCAGGCGAGAGATGTGTCAGTTGTTCAATATTTTAATAATTATCAATAAAATTTTATTGAAATAAAATTGGCTGAAAAAAGAGTGCATCTATCTAACATGGGAAAAAACATCTTATACCATAATTCAATAAAATTCCGGAAAAGCAATGCCTTCTACAATTTAAAAAATATTGTTCTGATAAAGAAAAAATCATGAAAAAAACCAATTCCATATTTATTTAAACTTCTTGTCTCATTTACATTATTATGGCAGATGCAATGGACATATCTGCCAGCAATAGAAATGTGAAATATGTCTTGTAAGATTGTGTAAATATTCATCAAGTAATGGGCAAAAAGCTGTTCCGTGAGACAACTTTAATGGCCAGATAATGACAGCTTTATATGTCCGTGACTTTGTTTACTAGTGTTTTTTAATAGAATATATGTGGTCAAATTTCAACAGTGGAGCATGACTAAGGCCTGTGATGATATATATGAATGAAGATATCTTATAATAAATTACAATTGTTTAAACCAAGCCTACCAGATGAATGGCTGAGCCTCGATTTAAATCTAACGATCCGTGAAATGAATTACGATTAAATTGCCTTTAAATAGAAGCTTCACCGAAGATTAAGTCTAGAGCCAAGACACCAGATTTATAATATAGAACTGGAATTTAATTCTACAAGAAATTCTGTATGTGTATTAAAATCTCATAACGAAATAGACTCTGTTGAATATTTGCCAATCTTTAATAAGTCAAATATTCCAAATTGATCAGTTGACTGAATAGCGAACACTAAATTATTATATTGATAACTGTATGGGGCAATGGGGTTGTTCACGCTTTGACTGAATATCAATCTAGTCAAAAACTTGTGTTGTGCATGATGAATCTGTCTACACTCAATTAATTTTATGAAAAGGATCTATCTTCATTTAAATATGTCTGTCCATTTATAGTCTTACAAAGCTTTATTGGAGCATGTTCTAGTAACCTAGTTTTGATACTTGATATTGTAATATTTGTTTTCTATCCCTTGGGGTTTTGTTGTTTAAAGTATGGTCAGCTTAACCAGTTAACACAAATTTTCAAAATGATATTTTTAACAAATATCTGAAAACTAACCACTATTTTTGTATATTTTGTCTATGGAAGTTCAATTTTGATCCCTACAGTATGAAGGTTTAATTATGATTTTCATTATTTTTTTAAATACACAAGATAAAACATTTGTGATTAATTGTCAGTTAAGCTAACCAGGCGTAAACAGCAGCGCAACCAAGCGTCTGTATAGGAGATGTACCTATAGTAACCTTTCTCTAACTTAAACAGGAAACAGAAATAAAATCTTGGGATAAAAAATGCAACAGACATTAAACCCCATGCAGTTGGAATTAGCAAAAAAAAAAAAAAGCAAGGAAGTATTGAACAAAATATTAATTTGAAAATCCACAATAATTTTTTTTAAAAGATTAAAGAATATCTGTTAAAAAAGCATATTTCTTGTAAAAGTATTATCAGATTAAAATCAAATCAAATACCGGCATATATAAATAGAAAAACTCAAAACCAATGAAACTTGAAGATGAGTTAACAGTTACACAGAGGAAAATACAAGTATATAAATACTTACGGAGCAACAAATATTCCACAATTTCCTTGAAGTGCTGATGGGCATAGACGAGCCTCCCATCCGGACCTTCGTAAAGGAGATTTCCGAGACAGGTGCGGAATTGCAGCCAGTCAAATTTCCTTACAATGCGACTTCCTGTGTAGCCAATTCTTTGGAGGAGAGCAAATAAATCGGTCTCGGTCAAACCCATTTTGGAAACAGCGAAGAGTCGGAGGACATCAGGAACCCAGCCTTCAAACTCTGTAGAACAAATACCAAGGTCACACTTACATTTTTAAAAGCACATTGGACAGTAAGGTCTGTTTGTTAAGATGAACCTATATGTGCTTCCAACCACAGAAACTCAGAATGATTGATGAGGTGTTTTCATGCATACCACTATACCTTATTTATAAATGTTATGTTGACAACATAAATAGTCATTTGGTGTGTTTTACTAACAACATGTTACAATATTTAATATCGATCAATAGGCTGGATACTGTAGTTCTACTGTCGATATAGATGCTGAAAATGTAAATAGATTGTACATTGAGCAACTATTCCAGTAGCAATGTCTGACATATCCAGTTAATGTTGAAGCTTTTGTCTTGTGTTAAAACGTTTCGCTAATTTCTGTTTTAATTAATCAGCAACATATCATACGTGCACATGGAAATAATGTCAACAACAAATGTTTCATACCTCAAATAATTTGAAAAGTCAAATTTTGAAAATACAGATATTTTCAACATGTAAATTTTTTACTTTTATACCTGGTATTATTCCAAATTTCTTATTCATTATATTGTTATTAATATACATATGTAAATTGTTTTGCCTACACTAAATGTTTCTATTTTCTAGCACATTCTGCAATCTTACTTAGCAAACCATTCTAGACATGCAGTCGTTTGTTACTAAATGTTGTTTTACAGCAACTGTAAATTCAAAGTAGCGGGATTACGTATAGCTCGGGCTGTAATCACTGATGCAATGATGGTGTATTTGGATGATTTTGAAAACCTTTGTGTATCTTCCAAACATTTGTAAAGATTCCCAACTTATACTTGGTAGTGTTCAAATTTACAAACAACCCAAAAAATAATGTCTGTTTTAGTCAGCTTCAATCATCAGGATTATCCCATCAAAACCCAAACCTTATATTTATAAATTATGATTTACATATTTATTAACTGGTGAGTTATTTTAATACTTGAACTCTGATTTACTAATTAATATTGATTTTTTCCTTAAGTTAAAGGGTACCACTGCCTCAGCTATATTCATGAAGAAGAGTTCTACTCAAACTTTTTTTATGACTTGAAGTTATCTCCCTTGAAGAACATAAAGCGATACCAAAATAAGATTTTTCTGTTTAAGAGTTATTTCCCTTTCATTGACTCTTCGACCAATAAATTAGAATTCATTTTGGTACAATTCATTTGGAATTCCTGGATGGCCGCGTTGGTTAAGTGAAGGCTAATAATTGTAAAGGTTCTCAGTTCGAGTCCCTCTGATTTTTGTTTTCGTAATTACTTTTTTCAAACATTCAAATTTCAACCCACTATAATTCTGTAAAATATTACCCACATGTGCTTTTTATGGAATATTTCGTTTGAAAAGGACCTCAACAAATATTTTACAACAGTGATATTGGTAATAATCAACTTTAGCTTGACGGTACCCTTTACCTTGAATGAATATAGGAACCAGTAATTAAACATTCTTCAACTTCATAAGAAAAGTAATTAAAGAATATCTCTGACTACGGAACAAAAAACGTAAAATTTGCCCTACAATTCAAAAAAAAGAATTTCTCTTTTTTTGTTATACATGTATTAGTAGAAAAATATTAGGAAATATTCACAAAGCATTTGAACAAACACGTTAAACAACAACAAGATTAAAATTTAACATCCAGTTTTCAACTCTGAACTCATTCACCCCTGAAATTTCATAATGAACTATTCCAACCTTTGAATTGGAAGAGCTCAAATGTGTCTTCAGGGGTGAATGATTTTACATGAACTTCAATTCCCTTCTAGCTCCACTCTACCAAATAACAAACTACATTGTTAAAATGCATACATTCTTTTTTCTCTATCAGACACGGTAGCCGTGCATAATTCAAAGTCGTCAAAGAAGAACATGCATGAATTTTTGTACATTGTATCTCAAAACCACAAAATCTGCATTATCTAAAGCAATTTCACTTGCAATCTGCTTGTTACGAACTCATTACCTTCCTTCGTTTTCTCTGGAACAACTAAAAAGCAAATCACATGAAACAAAAAGAAGAAACTGTCAATTTTTATCAAGGTACTATCTATACCATATTTCATCAAAATGGAAGCATTATGAAGGGGTTTGGTGCTATATCAAGAGAAAAGTGTAAAAAAGTTAAAATACATGACAAATTAAAATAGACCTGGTTGGTGGTAGCTTAGGTGGCTAATAAATGTGGGATGATTTTTGAGATTTTTCTTTTAAGGGAGATCAATAAAATAAAATAAACTTCTACAAAGGGAGATAACAATATAATACCTAGCTCTGGTTCCATTTCTGTTGAGTCCCCGTACAAGTTCTCTTTCTGCCAACTGTAGTCCTTGGTCCAGCGTTGGAAACACTGAACACACAATTCTCTCAGTGAAGTACAATTGTCGTAAACGTCGTCAAGGTACTGAGTCAGATGTACGTGTACATTAAAAGTCTGCATCTCGTTACAGAGAATGTTCAGATAGAGCAGATTGTTGCATGCTTTCAAGGAATGTATGTTTTCAAAGTCAACAGGTTTGAGGTACATGAAATGATGCTGCATATGTTCTTCCAGGAAGTTTGTCCTCAGTTTGTCTGTATTAAGTAGCGGAACAGGACGTGAAACAATGTCACGGCGACTCGTCATGGCGTGATAGGACAAATCTGAGCGACAGGTTGTACAGATAAATCGACATTGCGGAGGTAGGGGGAATGGCAGCCATTTGAACTCTTTAATCTGAAAAGGATATAAAATCATTAATTCAGAATCTTGCTAGTACTGAACTAAAAAGAAAAACAACATAATGAACAAGAGGACAAAGTCATTAATCACTCATTTGCTTTTAAATTTTGCATTTCTAACACATTTTGACTGATGTGATGTTGGAAGTGAGTCAAGGTGATTCATTTGAGCCAACTTTACACCCCTCCATCCCAGAAAGCTACATATCTAATATTGAGGTACTGTACTGTAAAAAAATAACATTTGTACTTATATCAAATAATAAATTGGCCAAGGTAATTTAAAATGTGATAGTCCTCTTCCACAGAGAGCTCCACCCCCCCCC